ATTGTAGCCATGGTAAAGGCCCTCATGAATTCCATTCGTACGCTCCTCACGAGCACTGACAGTCCGGCTGCTAAGAGTGCACTTCAGAAAGTGGATTCGCTGAAGCCGGTGCTATCAAGTCTGCAAAGGTATCATGGCTCCTCCTCTGCAAGCCTTTCGTAAAGAAGTCAAAGGAGCTTTGATTTTTCAGTGGAATGTCCGAGGCCTCAAGCACCACAATTCTGATATCCTACAATTTGTGTTTAAAAACCGGTTTCCAATTATTGTTATCTGTGAGCCACAGCTACACATAGCAATACGACTATCCAGCTACAAAGCCTTCAAGTCCGCTACCTGCAACAAACAGAGTGAGGTCAATGAATACATCAGATGCTACTTTACCTATATCGAGCGCTTTGTAGCACCTCACGATGACAATCAGTATGCCTGCTTGACAGTAAAACGCAGAGACCTCAACTTCACTCTTGTAGGCGCATATATATCATCTTCAAGCCGTTTTAAACCTGAAAGACTACGTGCATTGTTAACAGCCACACTTGGACCATGAATCAACACCACAGATTTCAACGCTTACCACCCACTATCTTGAAGTCAGAAGATAGACCGTCACGGCAGGCAAGCATTCTCCTTTGCTCTGGAGCAGCAGCTACTTTGTCTAAACAAAGGAAGGCCAACGTTTCTACGCAGAACGACATACAGCAGCTGCCTTGACTTGACATTTGTGTCATGAAGCCTAAATGGAAAAGTTAAGTGGTTCTCAGACTATGAAACTCATGGAAGCGACCACATACCAACATATTTAAAGATCAAGGGCCTGGAAAAATTGCAAAACTTCAACTGGACTAAGCTCAGGTAACTGACGGAAAAGAGGTGTCAAGAAAATGAAGCACCTCCTCTCGACACCCTCGAGGATATGATCAGAGGTGCTTTTCAAGAAGCGACTTATCTTAATGAACATACTTCAAAATATTATCAACATGAAGCGGAATTGGAACGGCTCAGAGCGATACGTCGTCGTGCAGAACGAAGATATAGGCGCACAAAGTTCATTCGCGACTTGAAGGAGGCAAAGCGACAAAAGAAAAAAAAAATCAGCGGCGAACCGATTCACTTCAGTCCTTTCGGTGGAAATCTCTGTGCGAATTGTCGTATCCACAAAAGCCTTTGACGAAGACACAGAGGATTGTTCGTGGCCTACGAACATCGCCACATCAACATCACCCCTTCAAGTGTCTGTCTCTTCACCTAGGTCACACCGAAATTGATGTAGCAGAAGCTTCTGCATAAAAGTTGCTGGTCAGGCGCCCGCGTGCATCACGCTTCACCTATAAAACACTCCTGTCTCCAGAAATTCAAGAATAACACCTTTTTCTGTCTAGAGGAACTCCCAGTGGCCTTGACAGCATGCAAACGATCTCAATCGCCTGGTCTGGATGGCATCACGTACATGGCTCTTTGCAACCACGGTGAAGCAGCTCGACGGGCCCTTCTATCTGTGTACAAAGACTCGTGGAGCAGCAGATTTGTCCCTCATTCGTGGAAATCGAGCCGACTCGTCCCTGTGTTTAAACCAGGTAAATATCCTTTAGACTTGACCTCTTATCGCCCCATCGCACTTACTAGCTGTTTCGGGAAAGTGATGGAGAGGATGAATTTGATTCGCCTAGAGTGATACCTGGAGCACGACGAGGTATGCCCTGATGCTATAACGGGCTTTTGACGTGGGCGGTCCGCAATTGATAACGTTATTGACCTGGTCTCGTCGGTGCAGCATCAAAAGAGGCTGAAACGTTTATCTGCGGCGTTGTTCTTGGACGTAAAAGGTGCATACGGTAATGTATCACATAAAGTCATTCTGGATGTCATGGAAAATGTTGGATTAAAGGGTTGGGTTTACCGATTGATCGATAGCTATTTGAAAGGCAGAACTTTCTTTGTACACACAGAGAATGGCACAACGACGCATCATCACATCCGTCGTAGTGTGCCTCAAGGTGGTCTTCTTAGCCCCACATTTTTAATCTAGTGCTTCTCAGCCTGGTCTACACACTTCTAGAATCAGTCCATCTATCAATATAGGCAGATAACATCTGCATCTGTGCATCAGGCGTAACACGCCTTCATTTGCGTTTCAGAGAGTGGCTACACTAGCGACAAAGTACCTTGAAGAACGGGGATAGAACTGTCATCAGAGAAGTGCTCACTTATAGCATTCACGCATAAGGCGATGAGTCCATATGTATTTAAAATCAATGGACACACGATCAACTACGTGCACACCCACCGGTTCCTCGGAGTCATAGTTGATCGCGACCTCTCCTGGAGCCCTCATATCGCCCACATGAAAACTAAACTCACCATGATCACCCATGTGCCGAGGTTTCTTGCTGGAAAAACGTAGGGTGCATCAGTACGAGCATTGCTTCAACTCTACACGGTCCTGTTCCTCGGTTATATGCGATACAGCTTACCCGTGCTTTGAGGGATCTGAAGAACAAACTTGCGCGTCCTCCAGTCGATCCAAGCCCAAGCACTGCGATAATGTCTTGGTCTCTTGAGATGCGCGTCTACAGCAGTTACAGTCATCATTGCGCGTAATTACCAAGTCGACGTATACATCCGCGTAGACACTTTGAGAATGTACCTAAGACAATTCGTTCGCCTTCCAGCACATCGCCTCGCCTCACTTCGACCTTCTAGGCCCCACCCAACCTTCGGTACAACTGTAGCTCAGCATTGCGCAGTGTTTCCATTGCACTTCATGCATTCAGCATATGGTGCCTACACCCACTCAAAGCCCTTCTTACGATTCCTGGTATCCAAAATAAGTAAAAGTCGTCACATCTAGCCCTGAAACAGGCCAGATTACTCTTCCTGCAAAAGAAGCACAACGGAAGCCTTCACATTTACATGGATGGCTCGGTGTCTTTAGTACATTCAGCAGGAGCGGTGGTTATTCCCGCTAAGCACATCAGAATTAAATTCAATACATCGCATTTGACGTCGTCGACAGCTGCACAACTCGCCACCATACGTGCAGCTCAGGAGTTTATAGTTGAAGAACCTTCGGGAACTTGGTCTATCTTCTCGGACTTGAAAGCGGCTCCTCAAGGTCTTATGTCACCCTTTCGCCATGGACCTAATGAACAGTTAGTAGCTGAAATAAGGCTTCTTCATCACCAAGCAATCGAGAAACAGCACAGCATACTGTATCAGTGGATACCCCGGTCATTGCGGCATATATGGCAATGACTGCGTAGATGAGGCCGCTAGATCTGCACACGACGGTACCTAATACATAGCCATCCAGTTCTCAAGAACCGACGCCGCTACAAGACTTCGTTCACCTGCACGTGACCTCACACTGGTACAATGGAACTCAACAGAATTCACAAACGCGTGCCTGCATAACTTTGATCCTGATCTGCAGCTTCGTCTTCCCTCAGGGATACCTCGAGCTGAGGAGACTCTTTTATGCCGCCTGTGGCTTGGAGTGGCCTTCACGAACGCATACTCCTATCTCATTGAAATGGACAGCTCTTATACATGCACTTACTGCAGCTACGAAGAAACCATCGCGCACCTTCTATGTATGTGCTCCCATTTCTACACGCCAAGACAAGAACTGACTGCAGCTCTGGATAGACTGGATGATTGGCCTTTGTCGGAACAGAGGATTTTGGGTCATTGGCCGTACCCATGCGCAGCCTACAAGGCTTTGGAAGCTTTACTGCGCTTTGTGCGGACAACTGGCCTCAGAGACAGAGTTTAGTGTCCTATACTCTTTGATGTTCCCCTTCCTCTGTCACTATTTTTTGTAATTTCTCTCTTTCTCTCTTCGCAACATTTCTTTTTATTATCTTTTATTCTCCTCACCCCTTTCCCAGCACAGTGTAGCCAGCCGGTCTGAGAACTGGCTAACCTCCTTGTCCTTCCACTTAAACTTTCCTCCTCCTGAATATGACCATTGTGCTCTATATGTTTTATTGTTTACTATCATAATTTCAACACTTATATCCAATCTAGTTAATGCTGCATAAGAACAGTACTCATGCCTTGTTACTTTTTTCAATTTTTCTTCTTCTCATCTTGTTCGGCAGCCCTCGCGCAATAGTATCTTTGGACTGGCAGTGCGCATAAATAAATAAATATGCAAGGAGATAAGACATCTTCCTGCCATTGACCAAACACCAGGGTTGTGCCAATTTGTCTATGGAGGTGGCAGCTCTACATGCAGCCAGGACGTTTCGTTCGCGTATATTAAAAATGTGCGTATTGCTCCACACTTTTATTAACACTAAGTTACCGGATCCTGGGTTCGCTATCTGTGAGTCTACTTTGGCTGCGAAGATGCGTCTTGCGCCTGTCTTAAAGAGAATGTGAGATGGCTAAACTCATCGCAGAGGTTAGGTCTCATGTCAACTCGCAATAGAAATTTGATTGTTCTTTTGAACGCCTTGACCAATATAGCACATACGTCAAAAAGTAAAATTATTTGAATTGATGGTATTTGAGGGGATGTTCTCGAATAAATAAGGCGACAGTTACTCTTTGGTTCTCGAGGAGATGAAGCGTTCGCCACACTGGGCTGAAAATATTCAATAAATTAATGTTATCAAGGTAAAACCAACGCATTAAAAAATTTACCATCTTCGACAGGTATCTGTCTGGCCAGGTGAACTTTCATCCTAATAACAACATAAACTTTCTATCAAAGTTATCTTTGGACTATAACTTCACTGGAGAGTTTATGATTAGTTACCCTTATGTTACCTCCTTAGTATGTTAAAAGAAGCGTGTGACACATACAGTAAGCAGGTTGGACATCGGAATAGTTTGTAAAAACGTTGTCTATTTATGATATCGTGAAATGTTACGCTTATTGAGAAACTCCAGAGAACATCTCGCTTACAGCAATAACGTGGAACAAGTGTGCTTCTTTGCCTACGCAAGCAAAAATGAAAACCTCAGTTCTTTGTTTGCCTTTTTTTTTCTTACAGATTATCTTTCCGCAACCCCTACTCGCCTTGCAGCACCTTTGAAGATTACAAGCCTTGCTTCAAGCGTGCTGATATTGAAGCGCGAGAAAAGGTGTACACTGAACTCTGGAACTTCGTATGCTTCAACAAAACGACCTGGGAGCGTGAGTGATGTACCTTCAGTAGGCTCTGTAGCATTCATCTGTCTCGGGCAGAAGGCGCCCGTGACATAACAAAAAATGAAGAACATAAATGGCAGGGTCGAAGAAAGGGAAAGTGGCTTTTTTCAAGTGTGGTCAGCGAAATGTAGCACCATTGCTGTGCATTTAGGAATAATGTGAAGTGCACTTGTGAACTAAGGAGACAAAACATGGTGCATAGTTTCAGCCCTGTGGTGCGCTTTTCTACATGCAGGTGAATTCTGACTTCAAGGAACCCAATAAAATAGTTCACCTAACTGAATGCTCATGCAATTGAATATTGGCTAGAATATAGAACAGCAACACATGCAGCAGACACCGAGTCAAACGTGTGAAATGCAGTTTATAGAGTGGTGTACATGGATGACGGATAAATACCAACTTCGTAACAGTGGTGTTGCTGTCGTAATAAGCAGTTTTAATGTACTTGCTCTGGTGCTTTTAAAAGCAGCAAGCGACAAGGTAATCGACAGAGTCTACGTATTCGATTACTTCCTCTGGCACAATTTATTGCTGCCACAAGAAGTCTGAGAACCTTCTGACACACCCTGCAGGCTCGCCTAAACGTGCAAAAATTCATTGTGTCTAATGCACAGCGTGAAACTTCACTCAACTGACTACGGAAATGAGCCATTGTCTACTGATCGATTTTGATCGATTGAAAATTTTTCTATTCAACGATTTCTTTTAAAGTTATCTGCAAGCATACAGAAGATAGAAAAACCACTAAGAATGTTCTAAATTTTTATTATTTTGAAATAAAACTGACTTGTAAGACTCGGTAATGGTAAAGCATCTTGCTGGAGTACGACGAACTTAGAGAATTTAAAAGGGCCAAAAGTAACGCGGTTTGTCTGATTAAGCTAGGCCGCATCAGATCTTAGTTGGTTGTTTATTTATTTATTTTTTACGTATTTATTTATTTTATACCAAACAACACCCAGAAAAAGTACTGTCGGTTTTAAGCCAAAAATTGCCGGGGTGGGGGGTGGAACCAAGCGTCGATTCTTGCTCTTGCCTTCCATCTCCGTATTGGACTAAACTGATGCCAATATGAGTTCAGCCTACTGCAACGAAACATACAACAATTTCAAATCATTGGGAGTATTCTTCTTTATGTGTTAAGCTTAAAATACTGCCTCAAGCAAACCAGCAAGATGAAAAAATGGAGTTGTGTTTGAAAGTACTCTGCAGAAGTACCGCTATTAGATTTCTGCAGAGGCATTACCTTGAGATATAATTTGAAAAATAGATAACGTGTTCTGCACAGACCGAGTAGCCATGTCAGAATTTGTATGTTTCATTGCTCGTAAAATCAGAAATCAGCACGGGCGGTTCCGGTCTGATATGACAGAGCTGTCGCGTTTCATGCGCAGCACATGCGATCAATCTCAATATCGGCTTTTAAGTTAGACAATGAATATCTCAAATTACGTGCAACTTTTGTGGTTTATTGAAAATAAGTAAGCAATAAATATTCTTAAACTACCTTTTCTCAATTTAAAAACTGCCCTAAAACTTCTGATTGAATACTTGACAATTTTTGTTAGTCGATTCAGTCTAACTTCAAGGGCGCCAAATAATTTCCGCCTAGACCGAAAGCTTGTGTGCGAATACGACCCAATCTTTGCTGTCAATACTTTTATTATTAACTAAGTACTGTGTAAAAAACCTACTCTGAAAAAAATAATGCTCCCAGTACAATATTGTGAGCGATACCGTTACGTGTTAGGTATGTGAGGCATGGCTAAATGAGCGCGTGAGCTATTTGTAGATGCGAAAATTATGGATCTTTAAAAAAAGAACAGTGTCATCAATGAGGTTAAATAATTTAGAAAAACCTATGCAGACGCCTAGGTTGAATTCTGTGTTATTGAATAAATTTATGATAATTTCTTTTTTGGTAGCACCATTTTTGTAAAACAATGTGAACTCAATTCTAATAAAAATGTTTAGCTTGTTGAGATATAACATCAGGAAAGAATGCATCCTTTTTCTCTACACATGAAAAACTTTTGTTGGATATAATCAGGATGTTCATTATTAAACGAATTCTTGCCACTTGTTATACATTGGCCCCACGCGTACAATGTACTCCATAAGAAAAGGAAGGCATTGAAAAGAAAACGCTCCTGATCAAAATGATCCTATATATGTAAGTGACGACTTGTATTATGATATCAAAAGCATATTTTAAGATTACTTCAATTCCGTTTAATGGCGACGAGAAAACATAAAAAACATTTTGGGGACAACTAGCTCGAGGACAACAACAATAACAAAAAAGCGACTCTCGATCGATCTTCCATGTCTCCCCCGAAATTTCCTAGGTGCACTCCCCCCCCCCCCCTCCCCACGAACCACTTTACCACCTTTTATTTTTCAGTAGAGTGACTTGTTGAGCAAGTTGGTTCATTCTTACGGTAGCTTTTAGCTGGAAATTAGGACCAGAGACAGACAAGCGCAAACTATCAACTGATTCGATGCGAAAGGCTCAGAGATTTAGAAACTACGTGGTGGTCCTCCTATTAGTCTATAACACTATCATTGCTGGGTGCTTTTACAGTGAATAATGCCTGCACACGTGAAAAAAGTGTCGTGGTGTTGGCACTCAGTTGGCACTGAGTGAGATTTTTTGGCCGCGAGCTTTTTAAGTTGGCTTGGCGACGAGAATATTGCTGCAGCGGTGGTGACATTTGTACCCGCGAAAACAGATCACCCCGTAGTCAATCATTAGGATAATTCTCAAATTCGCTTTGATGGTGCAAACCAGATAAAGGTCGAAAGTCTGATAAGCCGCATTCAAGCATACTAGAGAGTGACTCTTCATACGTGTGCTAACATATACTGAAGCTAGATAATAACATTTGTACTAAACCTTCGGCCGATCTGCTAACATCTGAACACAAACACACGCACACACGCACACGCACATGCGTGATGGGAACGACTATTCGGTTTATCCCCCAAACTTAACTTCTGAGCGAGTGTACAATATATTGATACATATTCTTTACTATGCTCTAACGGCTAAATGCCATCCAATTCGAAGCATTGTTTAATAACGAAATGCAACACAAACGAACGTGCAGGCCAATAACAACCTCAGGAAGACTTACTAACATACTGATCGTGTAACTTGAGCCGATAAATAAAAATATGCTGATCGTAAACCTAAAGCAGCGCAATGAAAATTGCATTGTGGGCCGCTGTAGTGAGCACAAGTTTTATTATTCAGCAGTGTGTCAAACAGTGCTGGAATGAGGAACATAAAGCTGGAAAAATAAACGACTAATTATATATAATTGAATTCGCTTCATGTGTGCGTTTCTTTACATTGACATGACTAAAAGGGTACACCGAGCAATTTCGGCAACTAGCGACTTAACGCACAACAAGAAATTTGCAAAATGAAGAAACATGGGTGGGCTTGCTATCATGTAAAATTGAAAACAATATACATAGAAACTGTAATTTTTTTACAAGAAACCAAATAAAATCTGCGCTAGCGATGTTTCACGCAGCAAACAAACACATAACATTGCGGAATGGTGTTGATTATCCTCTTGAACTGACACGAACATTGACACGCGTGTAGAGCAGTGCCCTACACTGCTCTACACGCATGTCACTTACTGACGTAAAGGGTGAAGGGCGCGCCTCTGCCCAGGAGAGTCAGTGAGCCAAAGTTCGCAATGCACGAGCCAGCAAAGCAGGGAACAAGAACCGCCTTTAATGCGCGACTCAAAATAATCACAAAGAGCCGTCCAGACCAGCTTAACACGACACTAACATACACAGGAGGACCAAATATCTCGAAGAAGCAACCCCCGCTGACTGGCGGTCAATGGAACATACGCAGCAAAACAACGGCAGGAAAGCCCGCGCGAAATTTTACAGCAGGAAATCAAACTCACGCGCAACTCACCGTAGAATATGAGCCATCGACTCGCGTTTGCCGACGCCCCCAAACCGGCGTAGCCTCTCCTCTGTAGCACGCACGGAGAAGAAATCCATCGCACCTAACGCGACCAACACCACATGCTATTGCTGGTCTGCCACCGGAGAAAACCCGGCGCTCACCTCATTTCCCTTTTTATCCACCAGCCACTTTTCCACCCCCTGTGGCTTCTTTGGATACTGACGCTCGTCCCGCACATGTGCAATGCGCATGTGCTCTCCTAGCCTTGATTACACCGAGCGTGCTGCAGATAAGGACCCATTGGCCCGACAAGAGAAATGAAGGCTGCTCGCTTGCAAACAACGAGGACACCTTGCCGCAACGCTATCATTTTAGAAATTAGAGTGGCGAAAGCTACGAGAAAAAAAAACGAAAACATTACGCGTTTTTGCGTGTACTTAGCTTTTTCTAGCGCATATACACAGTGAACAAGCTGTTTCTATGTGAGCAGGTATAGTCTTGTGCCCGGTGCATTTACGATTGAGTCCGAGTGAACATTTCTCAACATTGATTACCTTGCCCTCGCATATTGCTTGCTAAAACCATGACGACTGCAGTACTTTATCGCTATGAAAAGTCACCGTGCTGCTGTAATGTCAACCAAGGCTGCGAGAAAATCTGCGCGAAAAGTAACACATGCAAAATCGTGTGGCAAACGTGCAGCAGAACTTACAAAAAAAACTACTGATTGCGTACAGCGGGCATGATTGGATGCGCACAGTAAAATAAAAAATATGTTGACTAACACTATCGCAGCGTCCGAGCTGCTTGCTTTATAGAGCTTAAGATAAAAAATTTGGCAGATCATACGTACCTGGGGAATTGAGGTTATGCGAAGCATGTGGAGGGAAGGTGAGCTGGTTGCAATTTTTGTTATTGAGCGACACGTCATGAAGTGACACTAAATATATGTACAATTGTTGCACGAGCAGATATATGTAGAAGAGTTGCAGATGCTTATATAACCAGTTGTTTGTACTTGTGCAACGATGCAAACTGGAAC